CTCCCGAGCCTCCCGGTGTCGCGGGGACCCGGAGAGAGGCCCCGGGCTGGGGATCGCCGTGTCCTCCCCCTCCCTCCTCCCGTGTCGCATCCTCTGCTGGAGAAGCAGAAAGTGGGGGGCGTCCAGTCAGCTGAGCCGAGCCACCTCAGTCCGAGGGCCGGGCGCCCCGGGGGCGTGGCCCCTTCAGTGACCAAGGCCGAGTTCTGCCCTCTCCACCATCATCACTGACAAAGAGAAGGTAGCAAGGGTCTTTGCTCGTCTGCTCTCCCCCGCCGGCTCCCCTTGCCCATTTCCCAGGCCCACCTGGGAACACAGCTCGGTAACTGTAGGCAGAGGGAGTCCTGTAGGAACTGCCCGCCAAGAACTCATTCATTCATTCCACAGTACGCTGGCCCCTGTGCGGGAGAAGGGCTGGGCACCAGGAGTGCTGAGGGCGGCAGTCAAGTGAGACAACCAGCGAACCCAGAGGCAGGAATAACTCGTTTCAACCATTCGTGCGACACAGAGCTGAGTGTGTCTTAGGTGCCAGACGCTGTGCTGGGCTTTAGGGATACGCAGTGAGGCAGTGTCCAGGGTGCCAGTCCCCTGGAGCACACAGCCTGGTGGACAAGATGGACACTGACCGCATGGTATGAGCTCACCAGGAGACAAGGAGACATGTGAGGTAATGGGGCCTCTTCACCTATTCCAGGAGAGCCCAGAGCGCCTTCTCTGAGGAAATGAGTTAAAAGATGAAAGACAACTAGTGCAGACGGGACAAGGAGGGAAAGGACAGAGTCCTGGACAGAGAGGACCTGTAGAAAGGCCCAGACTCATTAGACAGCAGCTAACTGTCCACCTTACAGAGGGGGAGCTGGGGGAGCCCCATACCCTTCCCCATGTTACTTCTAGACCACGTTTCCTGTAATTGGACCAACTCCGCGTGTGCAGATGACGTCCCTGTGTCAAACTTAGGACTTAGTGCACCACGCGGTAGTTTGTCCTTCGGGACCCTGGCCCTCCTGCAGGAGAAGCCATCCATCCCGTGTGTCCTAGACTCCTCTGGGTGTGCTGGGACTCTATGCTTTCCCAGCACCTCTGCCCTCTCACAGCAGCCTTGTGAATTCAGTTTTATCTCCACTAGACAGATGGGGAAATGGAGGCAGGGAGGGGAAGTGGCCTTCCTAGCGCCGTGTACAAGTTCAGTGACCAGGAAGAGTCTGTGACTCCCTGCTTCTCTCTGCTGGATTTCAGGTACCTGGTGGCCTCCGCAGCTCCTCCAGCGCCTGGTAAGTGAGTGAAGGGCCTAAGGGATCCCCTTCCTCGGCTGGACCCTTCAGCACCTGGGACAGGGCTCTGCACACCCGGACTGCCTCCAACGCCAGCTGCCCAGTGAGCGGCTCTGCTGGAGGGGAAGATGACTGAAGGGCAGATTTGGGAACATGTTATAACAGAAACCAGAATCACTTTGGACTAGCACCCAGCTTGGTTGGAATTGTCACTGTTACTAACACACTCTGCACTTCACTTGGCTTTCCTGAGTCACAGTTCCTTCATCTGCTAAATGGGATTCCCAGCAGCCATGAGGTGGTGCATGCTGGCAATTCCAGCAGTCTGGGAAGCTGAGGCAGGAGGATCACAAGTTTGAATCCAGCCTGGTCAAATTTAGCAACTTGGCTTCTGGCACATTCCTCACAAGCTCAAGGGTCTGAGTGGGATCCCCAGTACAAAAAAAAAAAAAAAAAAAAAAAAAAAAAAAAAAAAA